CTAGGCTTAGCAGGGCCCCTGAGTGAAAACTCCCTCCCTCTCCAGACAGATCTAACTGTTCAGAAGTCCATTTTCCCATGCAGACTGCATCCCCCTGCCAGGTCTCCCAACCCAGGGCCCCAATCAGTTCTTGGGGCACCACACAAACCCCAATACTGACTCAGGCTTCCTGTTTCTTCAACAGGTGGTGGCTTCCACACCTTTTCTCTTCTGGACCTGGACTCACAATACCTAGAGGGCATCAGAGGGTCCTGGAGCCCAGGCTGCTTCTGAGACAGACAAGCTGGGGCCCCCCAGGGGTGGGGCTTGGAACAGACTCAGGGGCATGGCTCCCAGCAGGGCCAGCTGATTCCCCAGGCTGCCGACAGACTAGACCCTCAGTATGGCCCCTTGGCGGGAGTGGCTGAGCTCCAGGGATGAGGGGGCGCTGGGCAGGGAGCCTACTGTCTCCTCCTTCCCTTCCTCCTTATCCCAGGAGCCTCTGTGCCGGCCAACTGTACTAAAACTCCGGAAAACCATGGCGGGGAGGTTTTCCAATTAGAACATTCTTTTTCCGATCTGTGGATGATTCTTAAAGCAGCAAAAAGCCATTCTTCAGGGCATGTGGGGATTATCTGCCAGCGGGGCCTTGGCTCGGCTTGCGCACTCGTCCTCCAGAGGCCTGGCCTGGGGCTGCTTCACAGCCAAAGACAAAAAGCAGTCTGCATTCTGGGGCATCAGGTCACACAGGCCAAGACTGATGGTGGAGCAGTTCCTGGGCTTATTCAAAGTAGTAGATTCAAAAGGCAGCGGGAAGTTCAGGCTGCAGGGGTGGGAGATGTCCCAGTGGCCAGGGAGGCCTGCTTGCATGACCTCCCTGCTCCCAGTGGAGCCACTGTCCACAGAGCATGGATTCGTCTCCTTGGAGCTGAACTGGTCTGCCTTCTGCACCAGACTGGGAGTTGTTCCAAGCCAAGACTGGGGGTGGTAGTGCGTTGGAGGAAGGAGGCCCAAAGGGGGCATTTGGTGACTGAGAGTATGTGTGAGTGCCAGGGAGGGGGACCAGTCCCTTAGCCAGAAGTGCAGGCTGATGGTGGGGCAGGGGGGCTCTAAATGCAATACCAGGCAGGCAGGGTCTCACTCAGTGTGCTGGCCCTGCAGGTTCAGGTCTCTTGGGGCCATTGTGGGTGCAGCCACACGTGGGGACCCCTGCCCCCCAGGGGACCCACCCTACTTGGAGCCTGCGGAGTCACCCAGCAAGTGGAAACTGGTTGAAGAGCTTAGAAGGATGAGGCGGCAGGGCGGGCCCTAGAAGGGAGGGAAGGAAGGGATTAGGGTGCAAACAGGAGCCCAGCCCTTCCCACACATGAACCTGAGCACCCAGACTGGGTGGGGGCTCCATTCAGAACAGTTGGAGCCCTGGTTTTAGTCCCAGCTATGCCTCAGGCTGGCTATGTGACCCCAGCTTGATGCCATCCCTCTCTGGACTTATGTTTCCCAAATTACACAATGGCAGAGTTTGGGTCAGTTGTTCATCTCCAGTGCCTTCTGGTGTGGAGAGACTGCCTGGGTTGGCTTTGAGGCCTGACAGCTTTCAGTGCCCCATCCATCATCCCCCTCCCTAGCCTGGGAACTCTTCAGCTAGACTGGCATGCCTGAGTATCGTTCCCAGCCCTGGAGATCAGAGGGGCCTTCCTGGATCTTGTGAGCACTGCTGGCAAGTTCTTTCTAAACAGCCACCTATCCCTGTACTCATCTGCTTGCTTCAACTTGGCTTCCCAGAGAATCTATTTCCATTGTCTGCTCATGGGCTACAGCCTCACTTGGCATAGGGGACCTCTCCACCCCTGCCTCTACTTTCCAGACCTCTTTCCTACCCAGGCAGTCAAACTTAGCTCCACCCTTAAGCCCACCCTACTTAGAGGCAGCACCTAAGGGCCTTCGTGCCAGTGGGGAGACTGCCTGAGCTGTGGGCTTCAGGAGGATTCTGCCAGAGCCTGGCCAGCCTTAAAGCTGGAGATAGGAGCCAAGACACAAGAGAAGCTGAGAGTAGACAAGAATGGGGCCAAGTTCAAGCCAGGCAAGGGTAGCTAGAGCCCAGACTTGGGGCAGACAGCAACCACCAGGGTCTTGGCCCTCAAATTGTAGGCCAAGGAGAATTTATAAAGGAGCAAATGTTGTGACTGAGAATGGGGAGGAGGTCACCACAAACTGGACATCTTTTGGAGGGGCCTGGTGGTATGAGAGCAGTTGGTGTGTCTGGATCCAGGTGCCTGAGGGCAAGGAGTCAAAGAAGAGGTTGATAAAGTTGGCAGGGGCCCTGAAGCTTGGATGAGGTGGCTGGGGTGGCTCTGGCAGGGGTGGGGGCGTTCTACTGGGGCAGTGAACAAGTGGGCAGGGCAGGGCAGGGTAGGGCAGGGCAGTGACTGTTCGAGTCAAACCCGTTTGCAAGTGAGATCAGCTGCAGGGCCTGGCAGAGTAGCAGGGAGGGAGGAGTTGAGGAAAGGCTGGTCCCTTTGGCTGACGCTGTCGTGGCAGATCTGGCCTGGGCAGGGCTGAATCACCTGGGACATGGGAAGAGCTTGAGGCCCTGGGGCAACCCAGCTGATGCCCTCCCCTTGCTGACTGGCCATTGGTGGCTTGAGACACCACTCTTGATTGTGCTCTCTAGCTGGCCCACCCAGACTTAGGGCTCTAGAGCGAACTTGCCCATTCCCAGTGGTGGCATTGGGAGAGACGGCCACCTCTTCCTCACCCCTACATCAAATCCATCACTGTGTCCTTTACATTCTATCTCTTTAAGATAGGGTCTCTTGAAGAGGAATGGGGCCCAGAGAGGGGATGCAACACACTCTAAGTCATATAGTAGGTATGTTTAGGAGCTAGGATGCCAAGCCAGATACATCCACAGCCACCAGCAGCTCAATGCATGAGTCGGGCAGGAAGGCGATAGATGCTGGCCACCAGACTAGAAGCAGAAAAATGGTTGTTGGCAAGAGACAGAGATGAATTGAAGTGACTTTATATACAATCCCCCCACCTTTACCCACCACGCATATTCACACAGGCACAGGGTCACCTCCTCCAGGAAGAGAAAAATAAAGGCAGCTTCCAGAATCTCAACAACCCTGTCTTCTGCAAATCCTCTCTGACACCCTGTGCTGGTCTCCATGCCCCAGTGATGACTCAGACAGGGCCCTGCCCACCCGGAGTTCACCATCTAGGACAAGAAAGGATGGTGGCCACTATGCTAAATGGATGTTATCAGAGGAAACTAGGGGAGCACACAGAAGGAAATGATCAACTTGACTGAGTGGCCTGTGCAGTCAGGGAAGGATTATGGACACTTGAGATAAGTTTTGTGGCATGACTGAGTTCACTAGTCAGACAAGTGGACAAAATACATAAAGGGAGTCTAAGTGCCAGGAGCAAATGCCCCAAGGAGATGGGACTTGTGATGCATTACAAAGGCAGAAGGAGACCAGCATGGCTGGAATGTAGTGAATCCGGGGGGAGAGTGGCTGGGCCTGCAGAGAGGTTGGTGCAGCAGACTCCTTGGGCCCCTGAAAGAGTTTGGTTTTTATCTTTTTTTAAAAAATATATTTTATTGATTTTTTTACAGAGAGGAAGGGAGAGGAAGAGAGATAGAGAGTTAGAAACATCGATGAGAGAGAAACATTGATTCAGCTGCCTCCTGCACACCCCCTACTGGGGATGTGCCTGCAACCAAGGTACATGCCCTTGATCGGAATTGAACCTGGGACCCTTCAGTCCACAGGCCTACACTCTATCCACTGAGCCAAACCAGTCAGGGCTTGGCTTTTATCTTGAGAGCAATGGGAAGCCATCAAACAGTTGCAAATGTGGAGCAACGTGTAACTGTTACAGAGACTTCTGTGTGGAGACTACATAGGAAGGAAGGTTAGATCAGAGGCAGAGAGACCAGTGAGGATGGTTGCAGTGGGCGTGGAGAGAAATGCATGGATTGGAGGGCCATTTGGGACATAGACTTGTTAGGGATGGATGAAGGAGAACCTGTTAGTCCATCCTTTTGATTCTGTCATTCTGATAGGGCAACTCTTGACCAACTCTACTGTCTCTTAGACTGGCTTAACTATCCCTTGCCTGGAAAACCTCCCTCACTTCCCTACAGGTAGGGTTAGCGGCTTCTTTTGATGCTCCCTCCATCCTAGCTCCGCCCCCTCACCCCACCCCACATCCAGTGCCTTGCACATATAGCAAGTATTCACTAAGCTTGATTGAATGATACATACTCAAAAAGCACGAATGGATGACACTGATCAAACTGCACTAACCCCCGATGTTTGAATGTGTCTCCCTGCCCAGCCTGTGCCATGGCCCTGCTTGCTGACGGAGTGCTCCCTGCTGCTGTGCCTTGGGAGCTCCAAGTCCCTCCAGGATGGCCTTCCAGGATAACTTCCCCAGTGTGGCCTCACTTTCTTCTCCTTCTTCCCAGCCTCTGGGACTTCCTGCATGATCTCAGCCGCCAGCCACCGTTCCCCCCCTGCCCCTCTCCCCGCCCCTGTCTGGGATTTCCATCTGTAAAATGGATCTAGGAACAGTAGTTCTCAACAGAATTAACCCGCGGCATCTGTGGAAGTCATTGGCCTCGAGCAGGGGCCAGATCACATCAGGCGCGGGCAGGGGCGCAACTAGGCAGCCGGGGCCCTTCACGTGGCGGAGGCCTCCCAGTCCGGGGCCGCGAGCCTGGAGGAATTTGCTTGGAAGTTTTCCACAGGGGCAGAGCTTTCTGGAGCTCGCTCTGGGCTCGGTGCGGGGAGCCCCGGCCTTGATTTCTCCTACAGCCCCGCAGGGCGGGTCCGGGAAGGGGCGGGCGGGCCAGGACACTGGCAGGAGAATGTGCGGAATGTGCCAGGCCCATCTACCTACCCCAGGAGAGGGCAGAGGAAGGGGGCCGGCCGAGGGGAGGGGCGAGGGGCGAGGCTCTGGGCGCCGGAGAAAACCTGTTTGTTCTCCTGCGGGCGGAGCCCAGTCCGTGTCTCCTCGCCGCCCTGCGCGCTCCCCGCCGCGCCCCGCGCCCCGCGCTCGCCGCCTGGCCTGGCCGAGGGAGCCCGCGCCCCGCCTCCGCCCGACCCTCCGCCCGCCACGAGAGCTGGGCACCTGTGCCAGGTAGGGCTGTCGAGTCGCCGTCGGGGCAGCCCGGCAGAGAGGCAGCAGGGGGCACCGGGCCCCTGCCCAGTCTGGTGACAGCAAGGATGGTGACAGGGACAACTCCGGGCCTCAGTTTCCCCATCCATGATCTTCACGCGCTCCAAGCATCACCCCTGGGCTTCCGCTGGGGAGACAGTGCACCTGGTTTTCTGCTTTTCACTGTGAGCAAAGAGACTGAGAGAGGCAAAGAAGGCTGGCTTGATTCCTCTGCCTTCTCGCTCTTTCTGTAAGAGGGTTTGATTGTTGGTGAATGTGTCTGGGGCCAGGATGCTCTGAGAATTAATTGCAGACCTAAGAATCAGGGAATCTCAGATTGACTAGTTCACCATGTGTCCATTTTATAGATGAGAAAACTGAGACCCAGAGTAGGGGGCTCGCAGGTTGCTTGTGAGTCCCAGGCAGTCTCCTGGAGGGCCACGGAGAAGGTAGCTGCTCAGACAGAAGGCGCCGAATCAAGTGTCACTGGGTGTTATCAACGGGATCTGCAGCCAGCGGGACTCTGTGGCTGGATTGTTTTGATGGGGGCAGGGGGAGCCAAGAGTCTGTCCTCTTTGGAAAGACAGAGTGATATCTCAACTCAAAAAGAGACTGAAAGCTCAGCTTCTTCCTCTGTCCACCTTCCCTGCTACTTCCAAGCTGGGCATCTGGGCCGTTCTGTCAGTCTAAGGGGATGACTTGCCAGATATCCTGCCACCCAGGGCTGCTGGGGGCTCAGATGCAGTCAGAGGTGGGTGCGCCTGGGCTCTGGGACATCCAAAGTTCAGTAGAAACTGTCTGTGTTCTCACTCAGCCATTTACACTCAGTCTTGACAATGTGGAAGGTTGTGCAGCTGCATCTCAGGACCACAGTCTATGAACCCCAAGAAAGAGCCCTCACACCCCACCCAGCAGTGGTCGAGGCCTCTGGCACCCAGACCCAGTCTTGCCTTGGTTTCATGGTTTTTTTGACTTCTGATTTTGATACTTGGCTGGGGACAGGGAGCAGGGTCCCATAGGCTGATAGGCCTGGACAGTGGGGAGGGGCTCTGGGTTCCCACTTCCTCCTCACCAGCTCACATAAAGCTGTGGAGGGAGGCTGGGGAGGGAGGGTCCTACCTCCCTGGGGCCTCCACTGCCTCATCTGAAAAATCAAGGACAGCTCAGAGGCCTTGCTTTCCACTTAGAAGCAAGTGGCCAGGACAGATGCACAGACCTTGGGCCAGCTTACCAGCTGGCCTTGGTGCATGTGCTGTTTGCCTCATCACCTCTGGGCCACTCCAGTGTGGAAAGAAGCAGATGATACCCCTTTCTGAGGCGAGATGTTACCTGCTCTACCCCCTTCTTTCATCAATTCCCAGCCCCAGCCCTTCCTGGTATGGCCTTTGGAAGCCCTGGCCTGGCTGGGGGTTCCATACTCGGCTGCAGTGAGCTGATGGAAGACACCCAGCCCAGGGTCAGGCACAGAGCAGCTGCTCCAGATCTGTTCATTTCAACCCTCGGGACACTCACAAGTCAGTGACAGAGGTGGCCAATGACCACATTGGATGCTGCAGCTCTGAGTGGCATAAGCATAAGGGGCCCTGGGTGCCAGAAGCAAGGGAGCAGCTCTGACTGTGAGGATCAGGGAAGGCTTCCTAGAGGAGGAGGGCTTGGAAGTAGGAGAAGGAGCTCAGCAGTTACCAGGTCAAGGTCCTCACATCCTTTGGGGCTGCTTGAGTCTGACCTCCTCCTTGTGACCAAAAGAACAAACCCAGTTTTTCTTAAGCTTCTGTATGTTCCACCCAGTTCTTTCTAAGCTCCTGTATGTTCCACCCAGAGCTGAGCAGAGGGAACCTGGAAAGAAATTGTGAATGACAGTCCAGTTTGGGAGACAGAGAGGCCACTCAGTAAGGAGCTACCACCTGCAGTGTGTACCTCAGTTCCTCCTTAATTTGAGGGCAGTGACCCCAGGGGCAGCCAACGCTTCGCCTCAGCCTCCCTCAGCCTGTCTTGTGCCCCTCGCATTTCTGTGTAGTGTCTCTGTGGCCTCCTGAGATGTGGCGGGCAAAGACTACGGGCCTTCAGCAGTGGGCCCAGGACCTGGCCACCCTAAGCATTGTCAGCCGGTCCCTGAACTGTCCTCAGTCGCATGCCGAGGGAAGTCCCCAATCTGGCTCAATGCTGGGAGCCCTCCTCCCTTCCCCACTCAGCCTCCATGGATAACTTATCTCTTTGGTCTGGATCTTGCTTCAAGCCACAGCCCACAGGGTGCCAGATCATGTGCAATCCAGCTTGCTTTCTGAGCTGACCCCTGAGGCCCGCCAGGCCTTCATGGTATGTGACAGGACCGTGGCCCAGGAAGAGGAGAGCTGCAGCTCACGTGGTGCCCTGGGCCTTTGGGTTCTTGTGGTTGGGATCCATCAGGGACTCTGAATGCATTTCCACTGTGCCCACTGATGCCAGGACAAGAGCAGAACACCCAGGGAGCCCACATGCCTGAGAGTGATGCTCAAGAGAGGTTGGCATCATTGCTTCCAAGGGTCAGAGAGCTGGCATTAGGCTCCTGAAGTGCAGCAGGGAAGTGAATGGTGGGACAGGGCGGCACCTTTACAGCCTCGGGGTAAGAGAGCGGCTGGGAGGTCAGGCTGGGTTCAAACCCCAGTTCAGCCACCATCTAGTTGTGCAAACCTGAGCACATCACACAGCCTTTGGAGGCCTGAATTTTGTTACCTGTACAGGAGGGAGGCTGAAGCCAGGAGCACCTGCTACATAGCGGCAAGCAGCTGGCACCCGGCACAAAGGCAGTGCTGTCAGGGATGTCCTTTGAGCCAGGACCACACTGTGGTCCTCCAGGAGCTGTGGTGGCCAGGGGTGAGGTTGGGGCAGGTTGGGAGGAATGTAGGCTCCCAACCTGAGGAAAAACAGTTGTTTAAAAATCACTGCTAGTCTGTGCCGGTGACACACGTGGTATCAAACTCACAGTTAAATGATTTGCCAAAGAAAACTTCATTCTTAGGTAATTTCTGGATGCCTATTACAATCTGATTCACTTGCTTTTTAAATTTTCACTGTTTTTATTTTTAACCATTTGTCTTGGTTCAATTTAAAACTCACAGAAAAGTTGTAGGAGTCATACAAAGAACTCCCTTGGAGCCTTATCTGGATTCCCCACTGTTAACATTCCTGGTGGTTTTCTTCAGGAAGGGAAAATTTGACATGGAGGCACTTGTGTGACACTAACCGTCCACTGAGGAGTGGCTATGGAGGGGTCAAGAGGTGGGCAAGGCTGGTGTCAGTTCATTTTTCCAAAGAGAAACCGAGGCACAGAGAGAAACTCAATCAAGACTCATTTGAGGATTAAGAATAGAGCCAGGTTATCATATCTCACATACACACACGCAAGTATTTGGCCAGTGTCTTCTCATCCCTTGCCCGTGTTGGGCACTGAGGCACAGGGAAGACTGAGAACTGAGAAGGCCAGAGATAAGGGAAGTGGGAGGGGCAGGCCTGGGTGGAGAAGGGACTGGAAAATGAAAGGACAGGAGGCTCTATGGGTGTCATTCTCAAACTCTGATGTGGGGAGACAGGAATCTGCAGCCTAAGCACATGTCCCAGAGGGACCCAGGGCCACTTGCAGAAACATTGTCTATGCTTTTCCCGTGGGGAGTGTGCTCACTCCCCATTTCAAGAGGGAGTGGAGAACTGGGGTCGCTGGTGGTGACCGCTGAGGTGGCTGTGGAACTCTGTGGCCACACCCTGTGTCACTGGGATCAGTGGTGGGCAGTCCCCACACTGCTGTGGGTTGTGGAAGGTGGTCCCTGGCCTCAGCCCCAGCTGTGGGCACACCTCAGCCATGCACCCAGCCCCTTTGGTCTGGTACCTGTGATCGTTGGTTCAGAACACCACTTTCTGATGACTAGGTCAGTTTCCCAGAGAGCATGATGTGGCCAACGGTTGCTATGGAGAGAGGCTCAAGAATTCCAATCACAAGAATGGGTGTCCCTGGTGAAAATGCTCACCAGGGCAGTGCCTGGTTTAGACTGAAAACAAAAACAAAACAAAACAACAACAACAAAAAACCTCCCTGGCTGGTTTGGCTCAGTGGATAGAGCGTCTGTGAACTGAAGGGTCCTAGGTTCGATTCTGGTCAAAGGCACATGCCGGGGTTGCGAGCTTGGTCCCCAGTGGGGGGCATGCAGGAGGCAACCAATCAATGATTCTCTCATCATTGATGTTTCTATTTCTCTCTCCCTCTCCCTTCTTCTCTGAAATCAATAAAAATATATTTTAACAAAACAACACCATAGAAACAAAAACTAGGACTTGCCTCACTACTTCTGCCCAAGGAGCTCCTACTCACTCTTTCATTCTTTTAGGGGCATCCAAGCCCAGGGCATCTCCTTGGGTAATGCAGCGCTCTGGCAGTGCCCTCACAAGGCTTCTCTAAGCTGCCTATCGGTCTGATCAGCTCCCAGCCCGGCATTGACTTTCCATAAATGCTTTTTGAATAAATGAATAGGTGGCCTTGGGCAAATGTTTTCTCCTCTCTGGGTCTCCATGTTTTTATCCAAAAAAATGAGGACAGTGATAAGAGGTGAGAGTGGAGCTCAGGGGACACGGAAACTCCAGTGGAGGGAAAGGTGAGAAAGAAGGACACTGGGAGGGAGCTGGGTATGAGAGAGCTGCCAGGAGGAGGAGGAGGTCCGCCGGAGGTCAGCTGAAGTGGGAGATGCTGTGGGTGGGGAGAGGGGGCTGGCACTGCTTTTCCTCTTGAGCCTCATTTGTGATCACCTGTAACTGGGACAATGGCAGTCAGGGGCAAATATGGGGGAACTTCCCTTTCACTGGGCCTGCCTTGGCAAAGGCCGAATGGGTGGTAGCAGTGAGGGTACAGGGACATTCCTGGAGAGGGAGAGTTGGTTGGGGTCAGGGTGGGCTCCATGACCATTGAGTCCTTTTGAACCCCCTTGGCTGTCTGTGTGCAGATGGGGATTGCATCT